GAGAGCCGAGATCCAGGAGAGTCAATGAAGATGTGACTTATATCTCGAAGTTTACTTTAATGTATACCAGCGCCAAGGACGTCGAACATACTTGAGATGGAGTTTCGAGGCGAATCATAACCTAAAGGCCGTGGACACACGCTGCAGATACATGAGTTTTGATTTGAGCATGAAGGCGGACTTTGAATAACGGGTGAGTGAATGTTGTTGCATGTTATGGTAGAAGGGGTGCAAAGCAATAGCCATGATGTGTTCTGTTACATTTGTGGCTCAACTACAAAATCGTCGAGTGCTCCACCCTCCCGTCACGCATTCCACCTCCCTCACGCACCTCCCCGCTCCTCCCCTCCCACCACTCCCACCTCCCCCCCCGTGTTCCCCACCTCCACCTTCCGCTCCCTCCTTCCTCCCCGCTCCTCGTCCTCCGCCTCTCCTTGCCGCCCGCCCCTTTCACAGGTGCACATTCTGAACGCTACTTTCTTCTCTCCCCTGACCCTGTCCAGAGAGGGTGAGCCCTCGCCGCGTCTCGATGTCATACGCAGGATTTCAGACACTGCTTTTGTTACAGTCCGATTGTTTTCGGCGAGTCGAAATGGCGCTCCCGCTGCGGCGTGGGCCTCATTTTCGGACCTGCGCTTCGTTCCTGCCGTTCGGAACGGCGCTCGCGCCCAAGCGGGGGCCACTTTTCAGGATCCGAGTCCTTTTTCATCGTTGTCGTCACCAACATTTCCACTCCTCCGCCCTCCCCTGGTCCTCCTACTCATCCCGCCCCCTCCACTCCGCTCCAGCTCCTGCTGTTTCTGCCCGTCCTCGTCTTTCTCCTTCCTCATCCGCATCCCTTTCCTCTGGCTCATCCTCCTGCTCACCTGCCATCCTCTCTTCCACTGTACGCAGTTCTCTTCTGTTCCGATTGCGCATAAAATATGTGGTCCTATCTGGAGTTCCATATCAGCTATGGCACGCGTCGGCGGCTAGACAGAAAACGGCGCAATGGGAAGGTATGGGTGGGAGGGGTAGGACGTCAGACTTGCGCGAGCGCTTATTGCTTGTCTCTAGCCCCTTTCCCTCCCACCTCCCCGATCCTCCCCGCTCCTCTCCCCCCGCATCCCCCTCCTGCGCTCCCCCTTTACCCTCTCGTCCCTCATTCGGCGCCCCCGCTCTCTTCTCCCGCCAACCCCCATTGGGCTTGGGAGGTTGAGGGGGACGGGGGTGGGAGGGAGGAGGGGAAAGGAAGAGGATTAGGACAGCACAATCCACCCCTTCCCCTGCCAGGCCCGCCACTCCCGATCTGGTGATCCAGGGTTTCCTGGATGGGGCTGGGGGTAGCCTTTCGGCCCCCCCAACCCCCCCCAAACCACCCTCACCCCCAGCCAGGACACTCTGGATCACCCGGGTGGGTGGGGATCTTGGCGGGGTGGGGGTGGGTTTTGCTGCCCTCAGAGGATGAGGACCAGGGTAAACCAGCGTGTAGCAGCAATGCTGCCATGCATTCAGCCGTCCCAAATCCCCTCCTTAGTCCCGTCCCTGCACGCATCGTTTTGGCTACTACGTGAAGCGCCCCTCTGAAAGACGAGCACCCGATGGGCCCGCAATTCTTGACGCTTGGCGTTGTTCGATGCCCACCGAAGCACGCGACACGGCTGTCACTTGCATCCGTGGTGCCATGACCTGGCGCTGGTTTCGCTTTGTGCCCTGCTGGTGGTCCTCCTCGACGTGTACGTGGTGTCGTACAACTCGAATTCCGCCATTTTTCTGTTGCATTTCGCCTGGAAGATCTTCCTGGTCGACAGCGCCTCCTCCCTGAGCGGCAGCGAGGCTTGCCTCCTGTTTGTTTCTCTCCCCGTTGCCTCCCTCTTTTCTTTCTTGTTCTTTCTCGGTGCGCGTAATTCAGGCCGCCGCTTGCTCGTTGCGCCGTTCACGCCGCCCGACTTCTCTCGACGCGGTCGCGATCAAAAAACGTATCCCCACCAACCCATCTAGAAACGTTGCCCATGAGAGCTGACGGGTGGAGAGAGGTCAAACAGCGAGGGAGGCTAGGGAGGTTCCATGGCCATCTCGAGCCGTGTTGGAGCGGTCTTGGGGCCGTTTGGAGCATCTTGGGAGCCATCTTGAGCCAGCTTCGGCTATCTGAGCCATCTTGGAGGTCTTGGGCATTCTGAGGCCGCTCGGGGGCCCCTTGGGCCTTTCAGGTGCCTCTTGGAGGCCTCTTGGGGCTTCCTGGGGCGCTCTTTGGGCCCTCGTGGGGCTTTCCTGGGAATCCTGGAAGCCCTCTTGGGGCCATCTCGCAGGCTATCGATCAAAAGAGTTTTTACCTAACAGCGTTTGCTGATAGGTTTCTAGTAGGGTCAAAAGAGAGCATCATGACTCCTCAGGGGGGTCTGGGCGGGTGCCGGGGAGGAGAACCGGGAATCGTTTTTCGCCAACAGTCACACACTTCGTGCTCTTCGACCTCCCAGAACTCCATTCCCGGGACACATTCTGGAGAACCGGGAACAGAGCCGGGCTCGCTTTTCGCCAACAGTCACACACTTCGTGCTCTTCGACCTCCCAGAACTCCATTCCCGGGCCACTTTCTGGAGAACCGGGAACAGAGCCGGGCTCGTTTTTCGTCAACAGTCACACACTTCGTGCTCTTCGACCTCCCAGAACTCCATTCCCGGGCTACATTTTGAGTGGCCGGAGCCAACTGTAGGCCACTTCGTGCTCTTCAAGTGCCCAGAACTCCATTCCCGGGCCACATTTTGAATGCCCGGAGCCAACTGTAGGCCACTTCGTGCTCTTCGAGTGCCCAGAACTCCATTCCCGGGCCACATTTTGATGCTGATGCAGAGGCTGAGAATGGTGATGCTGATGCTGAGGCTGAGGCTGAGGCAGGCAGGCTGAGGCTGATGAGGCTGAGGCAGGCTGAGGCTGAGGCCGAGGCTGAAGGCAGGCTGAGGCAGACGCTGAGGCAGGCTGAGGCTGAGGCAGGCTGAGGCTGAGGCTGAGGCTGAGGCAGGCAGGCTGAGGCTGAGGCAGGCTGAGGCTGAGGCTGAGGCTGAAGGCAGACTGAGGCTGAGGCTGAGGCAGGCTGAGGCTGAGGCAGAGGCAGGCTGAGGCTGAGGCAGGCTGATGCTGAGGCAGGCTGAGGCTGAGGCTGAGGCTGAGGCTGAGGCTGAGGCAGGCTGAGGCTGAGGCCGAGGCTGAAGGCTGAGCTGAGGCTGAAGCAGGCTGAGGCTGAGGCTGAGGCAGGCTGAGGCTGAGGCTGAGGCAGGCTGATGCTGAGGCAGGCTGAGGCTGAGGCTGAGGCTGATGCAGGCTGAGGCTGAGGCAGGCTGAGGCTGAGGCCGAGGCTGAAGGCAGACTGAGGCTGAGGCTGAAGCAGGCTGAGGCTGAGGCTGAGGCAGGCTGAGGCTGAGGCTGAGGCAGGCTGATGCTGAGGCAGGCTGAGGCTGAGGCTGAGGCTGATGCAGGCTGAGGCTGAGAGGCTGAGGCTGAGGCCGAGGCTTGAGGCTGAGGCTGAAGCAGGCTGAGGCTGAGGCTGAGGCAGGCTGAGGCTGAGGCTGAGGCTGAGGCTGAGGCTGACTGCTGAACAGGCTGAGGCTGTGACTGACTGACAACTGCCTGCTGCACTGCGACTGTCATCGCGAATGCGACTGCGACTGCGAGAACAGCAGATCTCTACAACTGGATTCTCATCTGAATCTTAAGGGGAATGCTTCCATATATGCTTCTACACATCGCTGTTAGGTTGCTTTGCCGGGATAATTTTTATTCCTGCCCCCCCCATCGGGGGCCACGATCCTCGTGAGGGATGGAAACAAATTGTCCTCCCAGGGGCCGGTTTAACGCGTCGCAGCCCCCTCCCAAAAATCCTGAGGGAGGGGAGGGAGAGGGTTCCCCTCCCCGAAGGGAAGAGGGGTTGCGGAAGAGGGAAGAAAGCCTCCTTAGACCATCTGTCGCCCAAAAGGCTGGTGGGAGCCCAGGCGAGAGTCTTTTTTTTTGTGGGGACCGCCCTCCATCAGTGTATTTTTTGTTGAAGGACGAGTTGGAGTGGCGCCAAGGCGATAACTTCATCTTGGAAATGTGCGCGCGTGTAACTGTTGTTAATCCATGCTCCAGGGTCGGACACAGGGAGGTAGCCTCAGGCGAAACGCCCGTTCAGCGCTAACGCCACGCCTGGTGGTGCGACAGGGAGGAATTGTTTATAAGGACTATGGATGGATGAGGAAGATGATAATGCGGAGGAGGAGGATGAGGAGGAGGAAAAGTAGGGGGAGGAGGAGGAGGAGTCTCCCTCCGTAGACGTTGTGATCATCCGATCATAGTCCGTGCAGCGTAAAGCGTTTTCTCCCCGTCCCCGCCCCGCCCTATTCCCCGGACCTCTTCCAGGGTGAGTTCCGACCAGGATCTCGACGATAATCCAGCTGTGGCGGCGAGGGCTCTCGGGGACGAGCACCGGTCGATATACCAGGCCCCCCGCGGCGGTGCGAAGCGAAACGTGCTTCACGCGTCGCGCCCTGGGCCAGAGCGGCTGCCCGTCTCCACGGGGGCGGCGCGGGGGCGCCAGGGCGCGATGATACCCACGCGTCGCGCACCGCGGGGCACGATACGCGAGGTTAGGTGACCTTCTCGCGGAGCGCCCGGCGCTCCTCGCCGCTGCCGCGGAGCTGCGGGGGCGCGGCGGCGGCCAGGCCCAGGGGAGGAGGTCAGGTGCCGCGTCAGCTTCGAGATTCGAGGTCTCGAGACTGCCAGGCGTGTTCGTCGGGTCTCGGCGGATTTCCAGCCTCCTGGGACCTCCGAGGGGCCCCCGAGGGCCTGCGAGAGGCCTCTGACATGCCTCCGGGAGGCCTCCGCGAGGCCGAGGGCCACCGAGGGCCTTCGAGAGGCCTCCGAGCGCCTCCGAGGGCCTCCGAGTCGGCCTCCGAGCGCCCCGCGAGAGAAAGCCTGCTCGGTGTACCTCCGTGTCGCGTGCATTCGCCGGCCGGGCCGCAGCCCTTGCCCCGCTCTGCCCCCCCGAGGCAGCCTCCGCGGCTGGCCCCCTTCACCCCGCGGCCGGGGTCGCAGTCCGCGCGGGGGCATGCGGAGAGCGAGCGGGGGCCTCAGAGTCCGCGCGCGCGCTGGGGCAGCATGGTGATGACGATGACGATGATGACGACGATGACGACGATGACAATGACGATGATGATGACGACGTTGATGACGATGCAACTGATGCTGGTGATGATCATGATGATGGTGCAGAGGCTGATAATGAGGATTCTGAGGATGAGTATGATGATTCTGATGATGCTGATGCTGATGCTGATGCTGATGCTGATGCTGATGCCGATGATGGTGATGATGATTATTATCATTATGGTTATTTTTGTTATTATCATTATTATCATTACTATTATTATGATTCGTATTAATATCAATATTATTCTTATTATTTGTATCAGCCAGCGTCGACTCCAAATAGATAGGAGGACAGGAGAGGACGAGAGGAGGATGGGAGGAGGACAAGGAGGACGGGAGCAGGACGGGAGCAGGACGGGAGGAGGAACATCAAGCAAGCGCAAGCATTCAAGTGGAAGCAAGCAAGCGCAAGCGAGCAATAACAAGCACGCAAGAGCCAGCGATCAAGTGTAAGCAAGCAAGGGCAAGCAAGAGCAAGCAAGCGATAGCAAACACGCAAGAGCAAGCAAGCGATAGCAAACACGCAAGAGCAAGCAAGGGCAAGCGACTCATAGGAATCCATAGGAATCCATCGGACTCGCCACGGAAATAGATCGGGGGTGCCATTGGAAAGAAGGGGGGGTTCCGTTGGCAATAGGGGGGGAGGGGGAGGGGGGTGCCGTAGGAATTAGGTGGGGGGGCACAGGAATTGGGGGGGGGCAACAAACCAATTAGTAGTGTTTGAGTTAGAACTCCTATAGGGCAAGCCTATTTGGATAAGTTAGTTTTTTTGTTTAAGCATAACATATGATTCATATGACCACTTTGGTTCTTATGATGGTGATCGGGAATGATGATTACGATGGTGTTAGAGTATGATGATGGTGACGATGCTGATAATAATGAGGGTGACGTTCATGATGATGCTGATGCTGATGATGGTGGTGGTGATGATGACCAGGAGGAGAAGGATGATGATGATGATGATGATGATGATGATGATGATGATGATGATGATGATGATGATGAGGACGGTGAGGGTGATGATGAAACTGGTGATGAATAGGAGGATGAAGATGGTGATGATGATGATGATGATGATGACGGTGATGCTGATGATGATGCTGCTTATGATGACGGTGATGACGATGATGACGATGCAACTGATGTTGATAATGGTCATGATGGTGCAGAAACTGATGATGAGGATGATGAGGATGACCATGCTGATGATGATGATGATGATGATGACGATGATGATGATGATGATGATGATGATGATGATGATGATGATGATGGTGCTGATGGTGCTGATGATGATGATGATGATGATGATGATGATGATGATGATGATGATGATGATGATGATGATGATGATAGGGGCTGATGGTGATGATGATGATGATGACGATGCTGATGATGATAATGCTGATGATGATTATGATGGGAACGCTGACGATAGTGACGGCAATGCTGACGCTATGATGATGCTGGTTTTGCTGATGATGCCGAAGCTATTGATGATGTTGCTGCTGCTGCTGCCGATGACGATGATGATGCTACTGATGCTGGTGATGTCGATGATGCTGATGATGATTCTGATGATGAATATGCTGATGCTGTGGACCAGGTAGATGATGCTGCTGATGATGATTAGGGTGATGCTGCTGCTGATGATGACGATGATGTCGATCACGATGACGATGACGATGATGATGATGATGCTGATGCTGCTGATAATGATGCCGATGCTGCTGATGTGATGATGGTGCTGATGATGCTCGTGGTGGTTGTGGTGATGCTGATAAGGATACTGATGATGACGATGCTGATAATCATGGTCAGGATGATGAATGTATGAATGTAATCATGATGATCGATGGGGATGGAGATGATGCTGGTGATGATGATGATGATGATGATGATGCTGATGATGATGATGATGATGATTATGATGATGATGATTGTGATGGAGGTGATGATGATGCTGCTGATGCTGATGCTGTTGTTGATGCGGCTCATGATGAGGAGGATGAGGAGGACGATGAGGAGGGGGACGATGATGATGATGATGATGATGATGATGATGATGATGATGATGTTGTTGATGATGATGATGATGATGATGATGATGATGATGATGATGTGGATGAGGACGATGATGACGCCGCTGATAATGATGACGGTAGTGCTGCTGATGCTGATGATGATGATGATGGTGTTGCTGCTGCTGATGATGCTTCTCTGCGGATGATGTTTATGAGCATGAGGTGGAGCATGCTGATTATGTTGATGGTGGTGGTCATGATCATCATGGTGATGCTGCTTATGCGGATGATGCTGCTGATGATGATGGTGGTGCTGATGATGATGATGAGGAGGATGAGGATGAGGATGCTGCTGCTGATGATGCGGTTGCCGCTCCTGGTGATGCTGATGATGATGAGGAGGAGGAGGGGGAGGACGAGGACGACGGTCGATGGAGTGATGATGATGCTGATGCTGCTTCAGATAATGTTGATGATGACGATGACGATGTCGACCATAACGACGATGTTTTTGATGATGATGACGATGATGATGATGATGATGGTGGTGGTGGTGATGATGATGATGATGGTGATGATGGTGATGATGCTGATGATTATGATTCTGATTATGATTATGATGATGATGATGATGATGATGATGATGATGATGATGATGGTGGAATCATGATGATCATGATGATGGTCATGCTGCTGATGATGATGAGGAGGGGGACCATGAGGCGGAGGTCCGTAGTCATTTTGGCTCAAGGCTACACGAAACCGTAAAGCTACATTCCTAATCACGATTAGCTTTGGCCCGACCTCGCAGCTGGCTCGACCATTGCAAGGGAAAGGTTCCCCACCTCAAGAAACTGTCTGGCCCCCGCTCTCGATTCGGAGTGCTGGCATAGCTGCTCGTGGTGCTCGCCCTTCTGCTCTCACGGTCAGCACCCTCAGCGGGAGGACTCAGGCGGCAGCGCAGAGCGCTCTCTTTCGAGAAGCAGCGGCGGCCGTCCTGTTCGGAGGCGGAACAACAATGCCCTTCGTGCTGCACAGGACCGAACGCGGCCAGTGTCAGTGGCTGCTCCCATGGAGCAGGTGGCCCCCATCAACACAGACACCATCGCTGCCCAGATCGAGGGCATGCCGACCTCCGCCTCGCAACAGCCTGCTGCCCCTGTCGCCGACCCTTCGGCTGCGGCCGCTCGTGGCCGCGGCACACCGCGTGGCCGACCACCAGATGATGCAGGCTTCCAGATGGTGGATGAAGATCGAGACTTCCGCAACTACGTGGACAAGACCCGCAACGATTTCGTCAACTCAGTCTTTGGCTTGCAGGCGACCGTCGCCCAGCTGGCCTGTCAGGTGGTGCAGTCGCGTGACGGATTCGGGCAACGCATGGAGAAGAGGATCGAAGTGGTGGAAGCGCATCAGCGTACTCAAGCTCGTGCTTTTGCAGCCCTGCGCACGACTGTCCAGCAGCTCTCCTCGGATTTCGCGAACTTGCGCTGTGAGAACCCTCAGGGACGACCAATGGAGAACCGTGGCTTGGAACGGAAGATCGACCCCGCGGTGCTGGTCATCGCGACGCGGGCGCTGGTGGCTAAAGACAAGGCTCAGGCGGCCTTCGCCCCTTCTTCGAATCGTGTATTTTCTCCGTGGACACGGACTACGTGTGGGAGGGGGGCCCGGCGGGCAAATATTCATTATCACATTCAAAGGTGCAGAGGGCCTTGCACGGCGCAAAGTATCGCAGTGCATCGGACAATTCAAGCGGACCGACGGCCGTTGGGGACAGTTCTCAGCCATGGCGGTCGGTGTAGGGCACGCAGACATCTACAACAGTTTGGACTGGAGCCCGTTCGCGATCAAGCAGGACATGGCCCTCAGATCGGCGAGAAGGGTCCTGGAGCAACAGCGTCCGAACATCAAATTCTTCTCGGACGAGGGCAAGAGCGGCATCTGTGCCAACTGGCTGCCCTTAATCAAGATCTCCCCTCTCGAGGGGGATTCCAGGCCGCGCGCCGAGTGGAGCGTCGACAACCTCGGGGAGCTGCAGATGGACAAGGGCCCCCTGGCCCCCCCGGTCGAGGGCGCCCCCTCGGGCGCGGCGGCAGCGCCCGCAGAGTGGTCCGTGTAGCGCGCTCCTTGCCTTCCCGGTCAGCGACAGACGCGGCCCCGACGGCGACCTCGGAACCTTCCGCGTGGCCGCGTGGAACGCCGGGGCTCTCTTCGTTGCTCCGAGCTCTCGCGTGGAGCGGCGCCTTCGCCTCAGACGCATGAGATGCCCCGCGAAGCTACCCGATGGAGCAGTAATTGGGATGCAGGAGACTCGCGGCTCGGAGGCGGAAGTGCCTGACATATGACGAGTTGGAACAGGCCCGAGTACTTCGCGTTCAGTTCGTTCTGTCGGCGCCAGAAGAATGCTGGCGGAGTCGTCGCCTTCTTCCCGCTTGTCCGCTGGGCCGCGGCGGAGGCCGCGGCGTGCTTCGGAAAGGCCCCGCCATGGGGCATCATGACCTGGCCCTAGAGCGCGCTCTCAAAATCCGGATCTTCTCGAGGCACTCCCACTTCTTTCTCGCGCGCTACAATGTCAGCATTGTTTGGTCTGAATCGTGCCCGGATGCTGCTGATTCGGCGGGATGTCGAGAACGCCCTCGTGCCCGCCCGTGCTGGCCCTTCCCGCCGCCCTGTCCAGACCTCGGGGAATTCCACTTCTCCCGTTCCGAGCCGCCCCCTGCCTTCGACGGCGCCTCCGAGGGCGTCGCGACCCGGGGCGCGGCGGCGGCGCTGTCCCAAGCCGCGGGGCCTGTGGGTGCATCGTCTACCCTTCGGGCCTCGTCGGGACCTCCAAGTGCGGCATCCTCCTCAAGGGCCCCTGCGGGACCAGCTACTGCCTGCTG